ACCACCTACCAACCTGGAGTGGCTTGACTCTTTCTTTGATCTTTCCCTGCCTTCTGTGTATGGGGACCAGTTTCAGATTATAACTGGTAGCTCCCAAGGATTTTGTGAATCAACACTCATATATAACATTCTTGATGCCCCATGAGCACAGAATTCCAATGGCCCCACAATGTGTGAGAGGTCAACAAAACTCAAATTGAGTGCAAGACAAGCATGTTACATCTATGACTGAGTAACTGGGGGGGGGGCACCGACAACCTCTAGAGGCCATGCTTTCCTTTCCATTCCATTCCATTCCATTCCATTCCATTCCATTCCATTCCATTCCATTCCATTCTTGCCTTGAATGCAGAAAGAAAACAACAACCACGAAACTCTATCGTTTTCTATCTTATTCATCTTACTTCCCGGCATTAGTTAACCATTTACTCTGAAAGTGAAGACATAGAAGGAAAGGGCAACCCATAGTTCCTTTTCCTTTCAGTTCTTCCTTACTCATCAATAAGTAAGTCAAAGATAGAATCTTGGTAGAATGGGCACATATCAAGAAGTAAAAATAACAGTTCAGTTAGTTTTGTGCTGTGTCTCCACTGTTCTGATAAGAACAAAACACATATGCATATTCAAACTACAAAATACGTGAACTAGCCACAAAAATACAAATTGTGTAATTCTGTTGATTTCACAAAAGAGTTCAATGCTCTTATTTTTGCATTTAAAACTAGTATTGCATAATATAAAGATGAACAGTAAAATTAATGCTAATAATTTAAAATGCTTATTTTTCTTTACTTAGAGTGATATTAAATTACTTAGAGTGATATATAAAAAATACCATGACAATTTCAAAAAGAGAACATGGAAAAAAGGAGATAGCTTTATGTTTTGTACCTGCAAGGGCACTTTTTTCCTGCTTTTTGAATTAAGGGCCCCCCATTTTCATTTTGTACTAGGCCTTGCAAATACTATAACCAGCTGTATCTTTCCCTCTCTATGACTTCTCCCACAAGATCTATCTGGTCATCTTCTACAGGAAGTCTTAACCCCACCCACCCACCACAATTCCTAGGCTATCATGGCCTCCTCACCAGCAAACACCTAGCAAGTTATATTTATATATTTCTCATTGCACCTTCACTCTTAGTAGAGTTAATTTTGAACATGTCATCTCCCCAATAGTCTGTCTTCCCTGAAGGGCAGGGACGGGCTTGGCATTCTTATCTGTCTAGTCATGGACCAGAATCACTTCTGGGGCCTTCATAACCAAAATAAATTCTAGGAAATAACAATAAACAGGCAGAATGAGAATCTCCAGGGCTGGGTCATTTGGCTGCACAACTAGACTAAGGAGTTGTTGAATGAATGAAAGAAAATCAGTGGTTCCAGTGCCTGGAATAGCACTTCTTCTGGTTTGAATACTCCCTAGTAAAATCTGGTCCATCCTTGATGGACTGGTTCAAGGGCCATGTTTGCATTCAGTGATATCTCCCCTGATTTCTTCCATTCTCTCCTAATGCCCCACCATCTCTAATTCCCTGACCTAAAGTTCCTTACCATATATTGATTACCTTTGACACTGAGGAAATTTTACTTGAGTTTTACTTTACTGATTAGACTTTGTGTTGAAGGCACAGCAGAATGAGGACCTGCATGAGACAAGTGAGGCAATTGCCTTGAGTGCAAAATTTAAGGGGCATCAAAAACTCAGTAATCAATGGGGCACCTGGGTGGCTCAGTCGGTTAAGTGACTGCCTTCAGCTCAGGTCATGATCCCAGGGTCCTGGGATCGAGCCCTGCATCGAGCCCCACATCGGGCTCCCCACTCGGCAGGAAGCCTGCTTCTCCCTCTCCCACTTGTGTTCCCTCTCTTGCTGTCTCTCTCTTTCTATCTCTCTGTCAATTAAATAAATAAAATCTTAAAAAGAGAAGCAATGTGATAAAAAAACTCAGTAATCAAGAGAAACTATATTTTAATGCAATATAATTAAATATTATTTAATGCAATATATTGTTCAACTTTCTTGAACAATATATCAAGAGTTTAAATAAAGACAGGCGTAGACCCTGTATTTGTATCACTGACCTCACTGGCTTCCGTGTAATCCCAGTCCTGTTGGACTTTAGGTTTTATTTATCTTCTTACCCCAGCAGTGGATGGATGAATGAATATAAAAATGAATTGTTTCCTTGAACCAAGGCAGCAACTTGGAATTTGTAGATCCTGGTAATGAGGATGTCTTACAGGTGGCTCTGATGTGCCCTCTCAAACCAGCTAGATTGGAACACGGGGCCATATGCTCTAAAGTTTGAATATTCTTTTGCCTTCAGTCAGGTCCCCGTAAGATTATTCCTCCATTGTCTGCCTTTGTGAAAACTAAGAAAAAGCAATGAAGCGTTCTGTTGTCAATCCTTGTTTGCCATCATGGAATCAGCCCTCAGAGGGCCAATTCATGGAATCCTTAGTAGTTCATGTTGTTTCAATAATGTTGCATTAAAATTGCCTTCCCCCATTGTTATATAACATTGTTACAATCATAGTCTCATGAATTGTTTGAATAATACCATGCTATTTATTTCATGTTGTAATTTACTCTTTATTTCAGAAGTTTCCAGGCAAAATGAGATCAGAAAAACAAAGCCATTTAGACAGAGGGAAGCAACAGTGTTTGTTATACTTCATTCTCTGTATGATGTTTCCTTCTTAAGAAGGAATTTAGCTCCAAGTTGTACTCAGGAAGAGAAAAAAAAATTCCAAGTTCCACCAGGGTTTAGGGCCTATTATCCACCTTTGTGAAGGAAGGTTGGCATCACTCTCCTCCCACTCTCCCCCCTTATTAGGAAGTTGTTCACATGGCTCCGTAGCCCCTGGGAAGACCAGGCTGTCAACTGTTGTGGCCTGTCGGAGCCAAGCTTTTTCCTCAATGGCCAGAGTTTTCATCCACAGTTAGCCACCAGGGGGCCACCTATTTGGAACAAACGGTGCAGACTCCACAGCTTTCCTCCAAACCAACCAAAACATCCCGGGGCCGCTTTGGAGCAAAGCCCAGGAACTTCCCTGCAAGGGAGGACAACTTCTCTCCAGCTACAAAACCTGCAAGTCCTATATGGTATAGCCTTATTACGAGTGAAAAATAAAACAAAGCATGGATTTGTCGCCAAGAACCGAGGGGATTTAAGGTCCATGGAGTCTGACCGGGAGGCTCCTCCCTCTCGCCAGGGAGCCTGGAGGTCTGCGACTTTCCTCGCTTGAAGCACCTGAAACACTGTGCATCCAGGCGTAGGCAACAGTTTCGGAATTCCTGACAGTTGTGGTTGTTAATGCTGTTAGCTAGGGTGGTGGCTTCTCGCCCCTTTCCGTGGGATGCTCACAAGAAACTGGAATAAATCACACGTCACCGGCTGGAAATCTGTAAAACTCTCCAATAAATCATCTATACATTGCTCAGACAGTTGAGGATACAAATCGTCATAGCTCTATCACATTTCTGTACGAATAAATGTGTATATTGAATAATGAAGTAGGAATTGTTTTAATATTATCCATAAGAAAATAATTGTACTATGTCGTCAAAATAGTTTTGTTGCAACTATAACTTCGTACCGACTGCAGTTTAGCTTTTTGGGGACTCAGTATTTTTACAAGCATTCTTCTAGACCAGAATGCAGCTGCCCGCTTCATTTTCTCCCAGCCTAAACCCTTGGCTTTCAAGACTTGAGGTGGGGGTGGGGGAGGGCATTTTAGAAATTCATATTTGCCTGGGGCAGAACTCTTCAAGAGTATAAACGATTTTTGTCTTCCGGGTTTTATTTGTACATATCCAGGGCAAAGACTAATACGGCAGCCCTTCTGGAACCTGTGGAGTGTCTCAACTCTGCACACATCTCCCAGGATGTGCATAATTTTGCGGAGGGGTGTCTCGCTCAAAGGCAAGCCAGGTATTTTCCAAACTATCATAGGGGGTGGAGGAGACCGGGGCCGGGTGACGGTAAGGGAACTGCAGACCGCCCGGCCCATGGGAGGCCCCAGGAGGAGCCAGAGCGCTCTGTCGGCCCGACACGCGCCACAAGTGGTTTGGAGAAAGAGGGAGGAGCGCGGTGGCAGGGGCCGCGCTGGTCTTGCCGGGCGAAGAAAAGCCCGAGCTTCTGGAAGGTCCCCCGCCTCCTTGTCACTCGTCCCCCATTTCTTCCTTTTCTCCTACCAGAGGAATGACGCCCAAATCCGAACCTCGGTGCGCACGCCACCGGGTGGGTGGACGCGCGGCCACCCAACCCACCGCAACACTGCCACCCTGGGAAGGGCACCCTGGGTGGAGGGCACGGCCGGGACTGGGAGGAGAGCGAGCGCCCGAACCTGGGGAGGCAGGTGCGGAGGCGGCCGGCCCGGGGCGGTGTGCGCGTGGGCCGCGGGGTAGGGGTCCGCGAGCACCGAGGGGCGGACACTTCTGGGCGCCGGCCCCGGGCCGAGCTGGGGGTGTCGGGTGCCAGCCGGGCGGCTCGGGGCGGTCGCGGCGGCGGGGCGTGCGGCGGGGAGGCCATTTCCTCGCTGCGCCCCTGGCGGAGCCGGGTTTGCTTGCTCTTGGCCGCCGCCGGCGCCGCAGCGGCCGCGCAAGTAGGACCGCCGCGAGGGTTGAAGGGGAAACCAGGTCACCGGTTCGCAGACGCGGCGCGGAGCCGGCGCCCCGGGCCCGGAGTAAGGCAGCGCCCGGGGAGCTGGCCGGGGCGGGCCGGGCGCGCGGGGGGCCCGGAGAGGCGGGGACACCGGTGCCCGGACCACACTCGCTTCCTACGCCTATAAAAGTGGAGTGGCCGGGGAGGGCCGGCGCGGCCCTGGCGGCGGCCGCCTCTCTTCGCCCAAGGAGTTGACATTTTGCAGGACTCGCGCGACGTCCCGTCGCCTGCGCTCCCCGGGACCCCACCGCCGGGAGGAGGGGGCGGAGGAGGGTGGAGACTGCGGGGCTTGGCCAAGGAAGGCGCACATCCTCGGGCGGGCGGCCGTGACGCGGCGGGGATTAACTTTGCATGAATAATGTGAGTGCGCTTGGAAAGGAGACCTTCGGTTCCCCAGGCTCGGGGCAAGCGCCCGCAGGCTACCTTCCCCGGGCAGGGGTGCTCAACCCAACCGTCTCGAGGGCACTGGTAATTTGGCCAGAGGACTGCGTGGAGGCGGGGGCGTGTGGGGGAGGGGGGGAAGGAGGATGGGGCGGCAGTTCCAGCTGTCCAGAAGGGTGGGCAGGCTGGCGGCGGGGGTGTCGCGGGAACCTGAGAGGTGCGGGCGGCGAAGCTGGGCGCGCGGGCGGGCGGGCAGGCGGGGGTGGGTGGGTGGGTGGGGGGTGTCAGCCGCCGTGTTACCTGCCTCCGCCGGGTTTCTGCACCCCGGGTCCGGGAGGAGGTGCCCCTCGTGCTCCGGCACCGCGCGGCCGCAGTCCGGGAGCCCCAGCGTGGGCAGTGGTGGAGCCGGGTGGCTGGGGGCACCCTCCAATCGTAGAGGCTCTGTTCCTCAAACCCCCAAGCCCAGCTGTTGACAGGCTTCTTATGAAATGGAGTTTGGCATCCTCAGCGCCGAACCGAGTGGAAGTTTCCATGATGAGGAAGTTCTGTGACACGGGGGTTCGGAAAAGGTTGGCAGACACCGGGGGGCGGGGAGCGGGGAGGCGGTTTAAAGGGACTGTGGGTCCCCCATCCCCCTTTTTCCTCCTGCTCCGGAACTCCGGGGTTTGGAAAGGAGAATAATCCTGAATGTTGGCGTGCGCTGCTGCGGGTGCCTGGCGACTTGGCTTCTCCCCGCCTTCTCAGGGACTCGGTGGCGATTTCGCTCGCCTCCTGGGTCGCGCTTCTTTGCCTTGCTCTTCTTTTGACGCAGCATCTTCCTCTGGGTCGCCTCGAGTTGGTTCTGGCAACCAGGAGTTGAGCCAGCTGTGTTCTCCCCCGCCCCGGCCTCCCGGCTCCCCGACCTCCTACGGAGGACTAAATTGGGGGAGGTTTTTTTTTTTTTTTTTTCCCTTAATAGATCTCGTCCTTCTTAGCTGCGGTTGTCATTTTGGAGGAGGATTTCCCAATGACCACTGTTGGATTAATATTAGCGCTAATTCTTAAGCCTTCCGATTTGTTGGGGAGGGGGGAGCATGGGGTGTTTTTCAATTTATTAAAGGTTAAACGTATAATTTTCCCCGAATAGGAAATTTTATAGAGAGGGTCTAGAAGCTTAACAGTTCATAAACTGAGTCAAAGAAAAAGGAAAGAGTTTACCTGAACAAACAAGTTCATACTCTCCACCCTCCCCTCTCCACGCACATTTAGAATTTGTGAAGATTCAAACATTGTGCGTAATCGTCAGTAAATAAATTTGAAACTGAGTCTTCCTCTTAGCCTGATACTGGTCTTGGGTGCTAGAGAGATGCAGTTTTGAAGTTCAAAAAATTAAGCATTCCTTGGACAGTGTCTTAATCTCAGAGCACAGCAGTCTTTATAATGGTAAATATATTGAATCATGTAGACCTGTTGAGCAATATCTTTACATAATTTGGTTTTATTTTAGTTTAGTATGCTTATTGACATTTTAATAATATGTAGCACGCACTAGATTACAAAGTAATAAAAATTGCATTTTAGTCAAAATATTCCATGATTCATTCTGAAAATTCACAGTGACTGATCTGCTCCCTAATTCACTTCTGCTTACCTTTCTTATTCTGAAACAAGTCAGGAACTAAGAAACATTAAAGAGAAAGGTATTTTGATGAAAAGTATTTTGAGCAGTGGGTGTTTTCATGCCAGTTGGCTAAGCGTTTTAATCGAGTCTAACAGAAATTCAATAGTAAGTGATTTGTTTTGGGTATTATATGGGAAGGCATTGATGAACAACCATTTATTATTTGTACATATTAAACTGATACTATCAGAATCTTATTTTTAATGAATTTCAAAGTTTTATATATATTGGAAGTGGGACCATCTGGTAGTAGATATGATTTGTTTTTCTTTTTTAGTGAGTGAGAGTAAGTGCTGCTAAATATAGCCAAAGAACTATTTTTTTTTAATGAAGCAATTCCTGTTGGCATTATAATGCAAAGGCATAGTTTTATTGACATTGGAATATTGTTTTATGGAGTAACTGACCTTACAAGAGGAATAAACATTCCATTTCTCCCCTTTTAGATTCTTTATTCTGCTATCATAATGAATTAAGACAACTTCTTTTTAATCTAGCATTTTGGGGAAAAGGTGATTTCTTAAAATTTCCTTAAGAGAAGTGAAAGTTGTGGATTTCTTTTCTTTCCTGAGATTTTTGCAATTGTTTGAAGGAGGGCGCGTGTGGAGCCACAAATGGGATTGAAAGTTTGTTTTTTGTTTTTTGGAGTTTTTTAGTAAGCTCATCTTTTTGATGGAAATCTGAGTAAAGGTGATTGGTTTCTTTAGCTCCTTTTTGTCATTCCAGTGTAAGATTATGTGTCACCTTCTTAAAAAGCCCTTCCATGACCACATGAGCCAAGGCAGTCCCTCATTCCTTCTTAGCACCTTCATACTGTTTTTAGTTTCTTTTTTTTTTTTTCCTCTGTCCTTGGTCTTATTTGCAATCTGAATTGTCATTTCAGTTGGCACTTGAATACCTGTCTCCCCTGTCTACAATATAGAGTCCATGAGAAAAAGAGGCTTGACCACCTCTTTAACTCTTGATTCTCCAGCATCTTACACAGTGCTTGGCACACAGTTGGAGCTGGAAAAATCTTTGTTAAATAAATGAATGGTTGTGCCCAAACATTGTGTTCCTAAAAATACCTGACTAAGCATCCTAAGTGGGTACCAACTGGGTATGTCAAGACCTGTGTCTGTGTATGTCTGTGTGCCATGTATATATGGTTCAGTCTTTGTCTCCCCCCACACACTTTTTTTTTTTTTCTGAGAAGAAAGCTAGTCCCATTCCATATAGTGACAATGCTGAGAGTTATTTCTGCAAGTTCTTCCGGGGAGCATTTGCCTGGAGTACACAGAAATCCTCAGCAGCAGTTTGTCTTACACCTTACCTTGATTCCCTGAAGACATTGACCTTCAACTCCCTGGGTATCAGCAGAATCTTTATGAGTTCCAGAGGCACTGTCAGTGCTAAAAGCGAAATTCCAGGGAACAGACATCACTGGATGATAGCAGTGCCTTCTCACTCAGCAGGTTCTGGCAGTGCCTCTGGCCTTGACAGCCCTAAGGGGACCAAGGGCCTGTGGTGGTATAGCTGGTCTACAAAAGTAGCAGTTGGGGAAGGGGCAAAATGGGACTGTCAGGATATAATACAAGATTGAAAGGGCCCTTGGGGGTAGATTTGAAAATAACCTGCTGGTCACCCTGTGTTGTAAGTTAAGTCATTCAACTTTCCCCTTTGCGTCTTTTCACATTTCGATAAACAGATTCTAAACCAGATGATTGTGGGAAATACTGCATTATCTGAGTTTTCAAGTGACCAAAGTGTGATACCCAAAGGGTCATCTCCAAATTAGCTATTCATGGAAACTCTTTTGACAATTGAGACAAAAAGGAAATCACAGTGGGTGATTATAGTGATTTGTTTTTGTTTACAGAGTATGGACTTTCAGAAATGTGTCTGCAAAAATGCATAGTAAAAATCCCACAAAATGATGACATTGGTAAAAATGGTAGGGGAAGGAAGATCAAAATTTTATAGAGGGGTAAAGATAATTAAACTGAAATCCTAAGTGTTTATTGCTTTGGACTATTTAATTTAGCTCTGAGCTTCTCAGTGGCCAAGTTAACAGAAAAAAAACAGGGTCTGGAGATGGCAGGTATGCATTAAAGTTGTAAGGATACATCACATAACGTTTGTAGAGGGCTTACCAGGGTGTCTGGCAACTAGTATATAATTCTATGAAATGTCAAATCATGTAATGGCCAGTACTTGAACTTCAGTTCTACAGAAAATGAAGTAAAGTTCTTTATTTGGTCATCTTTTATGAGAATAACAAATGCAGAAGGGATAATGATGAAAAGAAGCTCAGTGAGAGTTTGTCTTTAGGAGCCTGAGCTACTGTGGTGCAGCAGTGGAAATTCTGGAATTGTCCCCAGTGCAAAAACAGAGCTCAGAAAACCTAGAGGAATGAATGGTTAACATGTTCTTCAGGCCGACTTTCTCAAATATCCAGTGTCTCAGCCAGGCTTTTGATTAGAGCAATCTGAGAGGACAGGACAGCCAGGTACTTGAAAATGACCCTACGGCCATAAACCCTCTGAACAGGTGATCTTGACACTTTGCTTTAGTCTGTATAGCTCTTATCACCCTGCAGGGCAGTTTGGGTTTTGTTTCCATTTGTCTCCCCCTCTAAACAGGGTTGAAGGACTATGGGTTTATTCATCCTTGACTCCCCAGCACTTAGCAAAGATTTGGAAACATGGGCACAGGGAAACACTTGTTGGAAGACAGAATGGGAGAGGGAAAGGGGGTGGTGCTTCTCTTGCTCCTCTGATATTGGTATTAAGTGTCATCTTTGGACTTCATTTTGCCCAAAGTGAATGTTTGTTGCCTGGCTTGAATTATATGTCTATATCACAGCTAGAAGGGCTTGTTCTAGTGTCTGAACTGGTTGAGCAATGGATGGCAAATTAACTTCTTGCTTTATTTACAGTAATTTTGATTATTTGACTTGATTTCTCATTCAGTCTATAAAAATTTGTGTACCTACTACGTGCCTCATTCTGGTAGTCATTTTGCAGCTTAGTGTGCAGCCTAGTGACCTGTAAGAAAATATGCATATATTAACACAAAGGGATCATGAAATGGTCTTCACTGATACCAACAAGCCACTCTTGGTATCCAAGTGGTGTGGGATTGAATATATTTAGGCCAGTGAGTCTCTGATTAAGGATGTTCACGCTTCACCTTAAGTTCCTAAATTTGTGAGTCAATTATGATGTTTAAGTAAGTTGGGGGGGGAGTATCCAAATCACTGAGTCACAAATAATGTATTTCCATATGCTTCTCTTAGCAATCCGGCCGACTGACAGCTAGACTAATGCTCATGTTGCTTGGTCCATACTGTCCTAATTTCAAGGGACTTTGGAAACTTTATGTGCTGGTGTTGTTCCTGGGCAGTACTATTTTTATTGAGTGAGAACCTGAGCCCTGCTGTGAACTTAGGTATCTTTTCCAAATGGCAAGTTAGGAGAGCCT